AGAACCACAGAGTACACTTACAGTTAAGGGGCATTAGAGACATTCAGAGTTCACCACGAGTCAGGACCAGCCAACACTAAGTATGACATCATTGCTCCACAGCCTCACCCCTCCCCTGCCAGCACCCAGTTCTCTCTCTCTGGTCCTCAGCCTCTCAGCCCTGTGGTCCTGTGGTTTCTGCCTCTGTGGGCCAGGAAAGCAGCCCAGCTGTCCTTTCTCTCAGAGTCCCACAGTGTGGGCCAGAGGAGGGAAGGTCCCCCAGAGTCTCTGGGCTGCTCCTCTGAGTCTCCATGCCACAGTGTCTGATGCATCTGCTCTTGATGGTCTCCCCCACTGTGGACAGAGATCTAGATGTGCCCTTCCGTAAGTCCTCGGATGTCTCTCCGTGTCTCCGATGGCAATTACCGACCAGGGAATGGTTGGAAGCCACTCAAGGAACATGGAGGTGAAAGCTGCCTTGTCAAAGGAGAACAGACCTTAATAAGGTGCTTGGACTGAAGCTTTCTTCTCCTTCCTTTGTGGTTGGGGAACAACGACAATGAGAAGAAACAGCTGCAAGCACACCTCAGTAATTGGAAGGTAGGATACACACTGTATGAATCTAGGAAAATTGTCCAGCATTAAAAGGAAACAGAGCCCACCAGCTGGATTCCAATCCACTGTGGCTGTGCAGCCAGCTGCTCTGTAAAACCCTCTTCAACTAAGCTTTCAATGAGAGGAGCCTCAAGGACCTGAGTTTTAAACTTCCCCAGGAACACAAACCTCTACCAAGGACACCCTGGGATTTTGGAGGGAGGAATCACAACACACACACACACACACACACACACAGCTGCAGGTCCTGTAGTCACCACACACACACATTATAGGTCATTGTCACCCTCCATGTTAGTGTTTTTAAAAGGATTTAAACTTCCCCAGGAACACAAACCTCTACCAAGGACACCCTGGGATTTTGGAGGGAGGAATCACAACACACACACACACACACGCACACACACACAGCTGCAGGGGCTGTACAGATAACATAGTGTCACGGAACAAGTGTAGGGCAGCAGGGAGGGGTGGAGACTGGGTAAGCTAGAGAGCCAGTGCCAACATTTGAGAATCAAGAAACGGGGGCCCAGCGAGGGTCCAGTGAAATGGAGCGGCCTGGGGTCAGTCTGTGGGTGGCTCTTCTGAGCTTGAAGCTGGTGTGGAAGCACAATTTGCTTTCAACGATCTTACTTGGTGACGAGAGGCAACTCACAGGAAGGAAGAGAATGGATGCTGCCCTCCTTCCTCGCCAGGTGCCCACCAGACACGGGCCCCCGGCCTGACTGAGAGGAGGGCGCTGCAGGAGCCCAAGGCCATTTGGGGCAGAGTGGACTCAGGCAGCTGTTTGCCCGGCTCTGCTCCGAGACGGCCCTTGTGCCTCACACACCTCAGCTTTATCAGATCTGGAGTGTCTCATCCACCAGCTATGGAAATGGGGGGCCCTAGCTGGAGCAGCATGCACCGGGGCCTGCCCAGGGATCCGGGGCTCCACTCACCGGGAACTGATGAGGTTTAGCGCCTTCAGGGAGTGGGTCAGCCAGAGGTCGGTCAGGGCCTCCAGCTCTGCTCGGAGCTGGAGCCAGGTCTCTCTTTTGGGAGCACCTATCAAGCCTGTGAGGGAGGAGGGAGAGGTACAGGGCCCGTTTTAGGGGGAGGGTTCAAATCCCACGCTGCCCACTGCACTCCAGAGAGTGCGCTGAATTAATCTGAACCTGCACCTGATTCTTCAGTCCTTCCACCTGCTCACCCATCTACTATCTCCAATAACTCACCCACCACTCACTCCCCCTCCCTCCATTGTGTCTCTTCCATCCCCCTCACCTCCCTCTGTTGTCCATCTGTTGGTAGATCCACTCATCTACCTTCCCCCTCCCATTTTCCCCTCTCCTTCCTTCTCTTAGAGAGGCTGGTGGTTTTGAACTGCTGACCTAGTGGTTAGCAGTCTAACACTTAACCCACTATGCCACCAGGGCTCCAGGAGTTGGGCAGCAGTAGCATTATCCCCATTTACAGATGAGAATGTGGAGGCATAGGAAGGTCATATTACCCGCTAGAGCAGGTTATATACACAGGGGGAGGGCTATGGAATCAGGCAGATGGCTCTGGGCCCGATCACTGCCCACCAGATGCAGGCCTACACATGCTCTGTCTTTAGCCTGGGGCTTGTCAATGGGCTGAGCATTCAACCATGTATGGAGGGCGCCTCACATCCCTAGTGGAGTCTCTGGTGTATGAAGGTGGAAACTGAGAACAGACACTAAGTAACTTGACCAGCACTGCACAGCCTAGTCTCCTGCCCATCACGCCACCCTCCTGCTGCTCATGTCCAAGTCCTCAGACTGCGCAGAGCAGCGCTCTGGGGTGGGGTTTGCCTCTCACTCCCCCTCAGGGCCCCTCAGTTTGGCAGCTGGGCTTGGAGGCCTCCTCCAGACGAGAGACCGGGCCTGCACCTGCCAGTGTTACAGCAGTACGGAAGCAGGCCCTGCAAGCCCGAGCTACTGGTGCCCCGCCCCGCGCCAGACAGCTGCTCCCAAGAAATCCCAGGTGCACAGGTGGAGTGGCCTGACCCAGTCCCCGGAGCGCTGCTCTGTGCAGTCTGAGGACTTGGACATGAGCAGCAGGAGGGTGGTGTGATGGGCAGGAGACTGGGCTGTGCAGTGCTGGTCAGGTTACTTAGCGTCTGTTCTCAGTTTCCACCTACACACACCAGAGACTAGGGATGTGAGGCGCCGTGGTTAAGTGCTCGGCTGCTCACTGAAAGGTTGGTAGTTCAAACCACTAACCACTCCCTGGGAGAAAGATGTGCCATTGACTTGTCTTGGACACCCCCGGGACAGTTGAACTCTGTCCTATAGAGTCACTGTGAGCTACCGTGGACTTGATGGCAGTGGGTGGGCACTGGGGATGTGGAGAAGAACAAGTGAGCTTTTACATGGAAAGTTCTCCAATCAGAGTAAGCACTTGTTCAGCGTTCATTGTGGTGTGGAGCTTCAGCACTAGGAGGCGATCAAGATAGAACTAGACGGTGCTTGGCTGTGACCCCTAATGCTTTGAAAGGGATCACATCAAAAGGTCTTGGAAAGGGGTCGTAAAAGGTGGAACAGAACCCCCCCAAAATAAAAAGGACCAGGCTTACTGGTCAGATAGAGGTACGTGGAAGACTAGGGCCCTAAGTCACCCTGCAGGCCTGGCAATGAACTTATCCCATGGCTCAGTTGTCAGCCAAAGAATTAAAACCAAACAAACTCACTGCCATGAGCCGATTCCCCCTCACAGCTACCCGCTGGGCCTGGCCGTAGCAGAACAATCCCTGTGGGCTTCCCAGACTGCCCCTCTTTATGGAGTAGAAAACCTCATCGTTCTCCCGAGGGGTGGCTGGTGGTTTTGAACTGCTGACCCTGTGGCTAGTAGTCCAACACATAATCCACTCCACCGCCAGGGCTCCAGGTCTATAAGGGGCACAGTGATACTAAGGAGGTGCACACACCTTAGGATAATCAACCGTTAGAGATCAAAGGGGCAACATCTACCCAAGGACCAAGTTCAAAAGGGTTAGGGAAAAAGGGACAGAAACAGGCTACCCAGGGAGGAAGTGGCCTAAGTCATGTTATACTGTGAGGCTGCGAATCAATGACGTGGAAAAGAGGTGCATGTGGCTATCAAAAGATAAAGCATCTGGGGTCTTAAAGACTTGAAGGTAAACAAGCAGCCATCTAGCTGAGAGGCAAAAAAGCCCACATGAAAGAAGCACACCAGCTTGTGCAATCATGAGGTGTTGATGGGATCAGGTATCAGGCATCATCAGAACAAAAAAATCATATTGTGAATAAGGGTGTGTGTGAAGTGGAGACCCAAAGCCCAGCTGTAGGCAATTGGACATCCCCTTATGCAAAGGTTGCAGGGAGGAGACCAGCCAGTCAGGGTGCAGTGTAGCAACCATGAAACATACAACTTTCCTCTACTTCCTAAATGTTTCCTTCCTCCACTCCCCACTATCATGATCCCAGTTCTACCTTATAAATCTGGCTAGACCAGAGGATGTACACTGGTACAGATAGGAACTGGAAACAGGGAATCCAGGGCAGATGATCCCTTCAGGACCAGTGGTGAGAGGGGGCGATACCGGGAGGGTGGAGGGAAATGTTGGACAGTAAGATATGACAAAATAATTTATAAATTATCATTGGGGAGAGGGTAAAAATGAGCTGATGCCAGGGGCTTAAGTGGAGAGCAAATGTTTTGAGACTGATGAGGGCAATGAATGTACAAATGTGCTTTACACAATTGTATGTATGGATTGTGGTAAGAGTTGTATGAGCCCCTAATAAAATGATTTAAAAAAACAAACGGTGCATGAACTGCAGGACGGAAAACCTCTCAGCTCTGCAAGCATTTGCTGATTTCACAGGAAGAAGCTATAAAAATCAGCCCAGAAGGAGGGGAGGGGAAGCAGAGGACAGTGGCTAGGACTGCTGGCGGTAACCAGCGGCACAGTCTGCCTTCTGCAAGTACCAACAGCAAACCTCCCCAGGCCCTGAGGAGCCAAGGGCTCTTCATCCCCCCTGCCACAGACTCAGAGGTCACTGCAGGCCTCCCAGCTGGCAAGTGGCAGAGTCCTGTGGGAGTGAGTGGCATGGTCCCTGTCCATTTGGAGGTGGGCACGGCAGGCTCAGTTCACTGTCTGTAGTTGATGTTGGGGGCTCTTGGATAGATTCTGACTCACAGTGACCCCACTGAACTACTTCAGAGGTTCTGTGCTTCCCTGGGCTGGGAGGAGCCCTGGAGGCATCATGGTTCGAGGTGGGCTGCTAACTGCGAGGTCAGCAGTTTGAAACCACCAGCTGCTCTAGAGAAAGAGGAGCTTTCTGCTTCTGTAAATTCACAGTCTTGGAAACCCACAGGGTGGTTTTATGCTGTCCGATGGAGTTGCTGCGATGGAGTGAGTCCAGTTTGGGGGCAGTTATGATCGGGGCAGATTGTCACATCTGTTTCCCTCAACCCTCAACTTCTCTCCCTGCCATCGAGTCCGGGCTGACTCATGGCAACCACCTGTGGGTTTCCGAGACTGGAACTGTTTATGGGAGTAGAAAGCCTCGTCTTTCTCCCGAGGAGCTGCTGGTGGTTTTGAACTGCTGACCATGTGGATTGCAGCCTGACCGGTTACCCGCTCCACCACCAGGGCTCCCTGGGTGAGTTCAAACCGCCAACCTTCTGGTTCGCAGCCGAGCGCTTAACTACGGTACCACCAGGGCTCCTTGCCCCACCTGGGCAGAATGCTTTCCATCTGCTCCTCAGTTCCCTCTGCCTGCTGCAGGTGCCCACCCAGAGGGGTCCCTTCAGCCGGCTGGTACCTGCCGAGCTGGCAGCAGCACTGACCCCCTTGCAGCTGCAAAGCAATGGAGCTGCTGAGAGTGGCAGCCAGATGACAATGACAGCGCCCACCGGATGCCCACCCCTTCGTCTGGGAGCGTTCCACCCGGGAGACTGACTTCAGCCCACTCACCGCCCACGTTGTTCTTGTAGGTGTTGTACATCTCCTTCACCCGCCGGTAGCGGAAGGCCAGCTTCCTCATCCAGTCCACCCCGCCGTGGACGCCAGAGCCCAGGCAGAGGTTGGCCCCGGGGGCCGAGCCATGGAAGCCGTCGGCTGAGAAGTTATATGTGCTGTGGAGAGGCAAGGGCAGGTTGGGAAGAGACACAGCATTAACAAACGGACACCAAGCCATGACAGGGCTGGCACGGGGCGGCCATGGGCCCTGGCAGCCACCAGTGGGGCTCCAGGTGTCCCTAGGCCCTCTGATGGCCAGGACGTGAGCTTCCAGCAGGGAGTGGACCTACAACTGTTACTAATGATTATTTTCATTTGTAAAAAAGAAAGCAGTGGAGTATCCAATATGGGTGTGTTAATAACTCCTTTTGAGGAACCGTGGTGGTGCGGTGGTTATGAGCTGGGCTACTAACGGCGGGTCAGAAGTTCGAAATCACCAGCTACTCCTTGGGAGAAAGACGGAGCTTTCTACTCCTGTAAAGAGTTACAGCTTCGGAAATCCACAGGGGCATTTCTGCCCATTCCTGCAGGATCGCTCTGAGTCGGCATCGACTGGATGGCAGTGAGCGCTCCCTAGGTGCCAGCCACAGTGCCTAGGTAATAACTTGATTGCATTGATGCCTTCCTCTTCCCCACCAGTGTGGCAGTGCGCTATGGCAGCTGCTTCTTGACTGCCCTGGTGCCATGGGTGATGGTGAGCAGGGAACAAAGGCAGTGGCATTTCCTCAGCTGGGCAAAGGGCAGGGCTCCAGCAGAGAAACGCCCCGGAAAGCATCAGAGAGCCCTTCACCACCACCACCACCACCACCACCACCACCCTCCTGGACATTCCGCTCACCCACCAGGGGTGATCCCCAGAGCTTCAAGGGGAGACCATGGTTCCGTCTGATTTCCTGATTTTAAAAACACCATTAAAGGGCACTAGTGTTTCTCTAGCGAATAAGGTAAAAAAGACCGGATTAACACAGTTAAATTGCCAGGGCCCTCAGTTCTCTAGGGACGGACTCAATGACTGGTGTCTTAGCTTACAAAATTGTCTTGACCTTGACGGAGCTTACATTGAGAGATGAAGGTTACCTTTAGCCCCCATCCTGCTAGATCATTTACTCCGGAGAAAGCAAACATGCCTACAAGCTGGCACCCTGGAAGAGATGCCGAGAATTTCCGCCAAGAGGGCGGGCAGGGTGCCCAGGATGGACAGAGGAGTGGTTAAGAGCTTGGAGTCAGGCTGTGGGTTCCAATTCTGCCTCCCCACATCACCACCTGTGGGCAGGGAACTTTATCTCTGTGCCACCCATCCAGCATGTGGCTCAGGTCCTCCCCGCTTAAGGTTACTGAGAAGGCGCAGTGGGTTAGTCCACACAAAGCACTGGGGATGGGGATGGCCCTCAATCCAAGCTCGGAAAAGGTTGGTTCTTGTTGCCATGGGAGAAACTCAGAGGCAGAGGCATGGCGGCTCCTGTGGCGTCCATTCGACTCTAGAGGACAGAGGAGCCCTGCCCCCCTGGGCTTTCCTGGGCTGCCATCTTTGCAGGAGCAAGTCGCCCGCTTTTATCTTCTGGGGAGCAGCCGGTGGGTTCAAACCACTGACTTTTGGTTAGCAGCTGAGCCCTAAAAAATTCTGCGACCTGGCTCCTTTCCTGGTTCCTAAAAGCAACCCCTAAACCCAGATCATCTGTCTTCAAGCTGATTCCGACTCACATCGACCTTGTACAAATCCTCACAAACTGCACCAACAGGTAACATCATGATAAACTGAATCAACCAAACTCTGCCATTGAGTTGATTCCGACTCAGCGACCCTTCAGGTCAGGGCAGAACTTCCCATGAGGGTTTCCAAGACTGTCACTCTTTACAGGCGTAGAAAGCCTCCTCTTCTGGCAGCGTAGCTGGTGGTTTTGAACTGCTGACCTTGTGGTTAGCAGCCCAATACATAACCACTATGCCACCAGGGCCCCTTTTGATAAGGAGAGAGAAGATTGATGTCAGGATTTCCTCTGGCTTGGATCCACAAGCAGTACTCATGGAAGCGGCAAGCAAGAGCTCCCACGATGCATTGCACTGGGTCAGTCTGCTGCACAGACCCCCGTAACGTGTGAGAAAGCAAGATGGTATGTTTAGAACTCAGGTGCTCCTGATCCAAGCCATGGTATTTTGAATCACCTCCTGTGCATGTGAAGAAGAATCAATGCCCATTTAGAGGTGTTGAATTGCAGTGAATTTTAATAAACACAGATTAACAACAGTGCTTCCTTGTTTCTGGAGTCCCGTTGGCATCGTGGTTATGTGTTGGGCTGCTAATGGCCAGGTGAGTAGCTCAAAGTCACCAGCCACTCAGACAAAGAAGAAGCTTTCTATACCAGTAGAGTTACAATCTCCGAAGCCCACAGGGGCTGTTCTACTCTGTCCTCTAGGGTCACGCCTAGTCGGAATCAACTCAATGGCCATGAGTTTGAGTCCAAGGCCAAACTGAATCCATTGGCCTCCTAGTGAAGGAGGAACTTGATAACCAGTCAAAAGGGGCGTTTTCACCCCCCAAATGCTCACCTTAAGTCTTGGCCATTGTCATCTGAGGAGACGTCATCGACGTGGATCTGGTCACAATCCTGTGGAGAATGCGGTGAGAAGAGAGAGCCGGTGTGTGCGTCTCAGAGTTGGTTCATAAGCAGAGGGGTGAAATGAGCACTGGACCAGTAGTCAGAAGTCCTGGGTTCTAGCCTGGGCTTTGCCTCTGAAGGGTAGGTGTCCTTGGGCTAAGTTTCATGCCCTCTCGTCTCTGGTTTCCTTACAAATGAGCTGGCTGACTAGAAGAGGGGCCATAGAGTTTCTCATCCAAACCGAGGCCCTTTGCACTTGAGTGGACCTGCTGGGAACACCATACACTGGGAAGACAGGAGGAAGCGTCACCTGGTCTCGGGGTTGCCTCTGCTTGGAATACACTCCCTCCTTTCTCTTCTCGGTGTTTCCAGAGCTACATCCAGTGGTGAGACTCAGCCGGTTAGCAATGGCTTGGCAGAACCGATACCTAATCTTTGCTGATGCCCAATGTAGACATTACAAATCTACATTTCTAACTTTTTTAAAACGATTCATCTGCACAACAGTGTATTGTAAGTGTCCGTGGTAATGTTCATTCCATTCATAGATTTAAAATTTTTAGATGAACTATGCTTGTAATAATTGATTCATTTCATAAAACTTGCATACTTTTGATGAAATCCTACATTTACCAGAGGGTGGCACACTGTCATTCATTTCTGCTTTGTGTCACGCCCCAAATTCCCACGAGATACAAGGAAATGGTGCAATTCCTGAAAGTGTTCAAAGAGCTAAAACTATTGTCAGAACAATTGCTGTAAGTTCAGCAGAAGCGGAAAGGGGTTTTTCAAAGATGAACATAGTCTGTTCAGAGAGGTTGCCTATTTCTGATATCGCAAACACAAGGACTACTGTCTAGTTGGCCTGCCTGCAAAGGCACGGGAGCCCACTCCTACAGTGAAAAGACGGTTATGGGTAAATCACACAGGCAGCAAAAGCCAAGAATGTTGCAAGTGACGACACAACCAAGAAGCAATACAGAAGTGCCTTAATAGAAAATGCATTAATTTAGCCAGGTTTTATTTGATATTTTAAAACTCTTTTATATCACAATCTAGTTTTCTGTACTCTTTTATTATTCTCATTTAAGTATTAACTGGGAAACAAAGATTTCTCCCAGTTGTCTCCCTCAAATATATGCCAAACTTAGCTGCTTGCTACATGTGGAGAATGATATACACTTGGAGGTCAACAGAAGTAGGTCGGGTCATTTTCCCTAAGGGTTATCAGCCATCTAGAGCAAGCAGTCACCACTGTTTTTCCCACAACAAGAAGGGCCTACTCCCTTCTGATAAGGATAGTAGTTGACTGGTTCCTCGTAGGAGACCCCTGAGAGGTCAAGCCCACCCAAAGATGACCAAGGTTAGGTCGCCATCGTGAATCCACATCATGAACCACGCTGTGCGTGGACCTGGCTGGTAAGATCATGGCCATCCAGGAGGTGAGCATGCTGCCATGAAATGTGTCTTGACACCATTATTTCAATCTCTCTGCTATCTCTCATGCTCTGACTTTACTATAATCTTTGTATATCTTTAACCATACAATTACACCTACCGGACCAGTGATGATTTGTTGGGGGCACTCTTTCCCCCCACAATTAACTATATGAAAAAATAAACTATCTCTCAGTATATCTTTTTTGTACTTAATATGGTCATTAGGGCAGTGAACCAGTTCTTGAATTATCTGAACCCACCACTGGCTCCATCCTTCCCGAGTGCCTTCCGTGTCCCTCACTCTAGCTTCCTCTTAGCTGAGCAGGTACTATGTCCCTGGCATGCGGTTTTCCGTCCTGTTTTCTTTGGGGAACCCCCCTGTTCCCTCCATATAACTGAGGGCTGTCGGAAGGGAAAGACAAAGTTGGGCATATGATTCAGGCTCCACCAATCAGGGACACCCAGGATTCCTCTGGTCACAGGGATAGGCATATGATCTAAGCCCCACCAACAAGAACCGGCCCGGAGACTTTGGCTGGAGCTTTGGGGCAAGAGACTCTCCTTTCAGGGGGTTAACTGGTCTACAGCTGAAGCCATCTGCTGAAGGAAAGCCAATGTGAGGGCTGAGAGGAATGCGAGATCAATCAGGTTGACGCCCGCCGAATTCAGCAATCCTTGTTGCTGGCCCAGGCACGGCTGCTGTATGGCTGGGGACAGGCATGACGAGCCCAGAGCTGCTAGGGAAGCCTCCTCTGTGGGACCTGCCTCTCCTTCTGTGCTCCTGCTGTCAAGTGCCATCCAGTCAAGCCCTTTCAACTCCCGATGATCCATATGACACGGTAGAACTGCCCCGGAGGGTTTTCTAAGTTTCAGTCTCTACGGAAGTAGATGGCCAGGTCTTCATGCTCCAGGTCGAGGTGCCCAGAGCCCAGAAACTCGCTCTGGGGGACCCAGAGATGGCACCCTGGGCAGCACCCATGCTGTGCTCCTACAGGCCTGAGCAACCGTGCAGCAGAGAAGTCAAGTGAGGGGCCAGCCATGGGCACACAGCATCATGGCAGGCACTAAATGGTGCTCCCAATGGACAAACTCTTTGAGCAGGACGATGACTTGTCTGTCTCCAAACACATCCCTACCAACCAGACCACCTGCACAAATCTTCTAAAAGGTACCGAGGTAGGGATTTCCCATGACCCTCTAGCCAAGGACCCATCCTCAGAGACACGGAGTGACCTGTCTTGAGCCAGCAGACTTCTTACACATAAACATCTGTCCCTCTGTACTTCATGTGTCTCTTTATGTACCAGGACCCTAACGGTGTGATCTATTCCCCCCTCCTCCCCAGGAGGGGCTGTCCCTTTCTAAGAGCTGAACATACTGGGACTCCCCAGATGTAAAGAATGGAGCCCGGTGCTCCCCAATTCCGTAACTGTTAGTCCCCTGTGGTCGTTGACCTTTAAATGAATAAAACTCGAAAACTCAGTTCCTTAGCTCTGTTTCAAATGCTTGCCCACCACAGGTAGTAAGTGACTGGTGGCGCAAATGGCTACTGCCGAGTTGGTAACTGTAGGTTGGCAGTTCAAACTCACCCAGCGTCTCTGGAGGAGAAAGACCTTGGCCATCTACTCCTATAAAGATGACAACTCATTCCAACACCCTACTGGGCAGTTCGACTCTCCCCTGGGGTCATTGTGAAATGGCCTGACGGCATGCAGCAGCAGCCATCAGCGCTAGTGCCCCCAACCTGGAGAGCGACGATGGCGATGCAGAACTCTGCGTCACTCCAGAAGGTTCTACTGGATATTGTGCTGCTCTCGGAGAACAAAGGGACTGGCTTGATAGCTTCTTGGCTCTGCTGCTAAATTCAATTAGGGGCGAGTTTGCTAATTGGCCTATTTAGCCCAAACCAAAACATCAAACTCACTTTGGTCTTTGAATCGATCCTGACTCAGGCGACCCAATAGGACAGAGAATGGCCCCTGTGGGTTTCTGAGGCTGTACATTTTTTTCTTTTACTTTTTTTTTTAAAACCAGTTTTATCAGCACTTCATCCACTTGTCATACAATTCAATAATTCAGTCCTATCAAGAGGAGTTGTACCGCTGTCACCATCTTCAATTACAAGGCTGTAACTCTTTATGGGAGTAGAAAGCCTCACCTTTTCCAATGTAGCTGCTGGTGAGTTTGAACCGCTGACCCTGTAGTTCACAGCCCAACTTGTAACCCACAGCACAACCAGCGCTCCTTACATTTAGCCCACTTGGTGCTAATAGTGACCAGTGTGCAAAACTCCTCCTCTGCTCTCCCCCTAGGAGTCCCAGCTCCTCTTGAGCATCCTTGGGCTCTGGTGCGGTGGGATTCGAAGTTCTGTGTCTCCCACTGTCTTCAGAACTGAACTGTAGCTGCATCCATCCTTTGGCCCAGACACCATTTCTGGCCTCCCAGAGTTGCCCCGATGTCCGGGTCATTTTATGTGGTCTAGTTGCCTGGGCCTGCAGGCACGTGAGTTAGAGATCCCTGGTCCCCATGATGACAGCGCTCCACAGCCGGCAAAGAGATGTTAATGACGGTCACACCTCTAACCCAACTCTGACTTCACATATCCGGACCCACATGCCGTACTCGCCCTCGTTGCCCTGCTGCCCTCCAGCCTTTCCATGAGCTTGCGGGCTGCCAGGGGTCACAGGCTCAGGCCCAGGTGGGGCTCCCTGGGCTCCTCTGATGTCAGCGGACAAGCATTTGGGAGGCTCTGCTTTCCTCATCTGCAGGGGGTGGTTGGGGGGTGCTGATGTGTGACAACAGTAGCGATCACATTTCGGACTTAATAAAATACCATGACACCCAGCTAGACGCTACCTCATACTCCACCAGCTGACCTGGATCGAGTTACACCACAGCCTGCACGGAGGGAAGGCGGACAGGCCGGAGTCCTGGGCCCCTCCACTCTGCTGCCCCCTCCCCTGCCCTGGCAGGGCACGTAGGGGAGGCCTGTCCTGGACCCACTTCTCACAGCCAGAGGTGGCGGGGCTGGGCCAGCTGGCAGTGACAAAAGGGGAATACTTTGACAGTGGGCGAGGCGCAGAGGGGCAGAGCCCTGGCAGCTGCAGCCCCTGCCTCAAGGGACTGACATGCTTGGATCCTGAGAATCACCTGCACCCAGGCGCAGGGACCACCATCTGCCCAACTGGAAGACACCTGAGAGCAAGGCGAGGCCTCCTCCAGTGGGGCTGCCCCGGCAGCTCACAGCAAGGAGGCAGTGTGTCTGTGAGCACCCGGGCAGCCCCGAGCCCGCTGGCGTCCGCGTGGCAGACGGGCTGGAGGACACCCCTGTATCTCCAGAAACCCGCCAATGCCAGGCAGTCCCTCACGGGGCTCACACTTGCCGCTGCTCCCACTGTGACTCACGGTGACCCCACCCCCATGTGCGTCAGGGGAGCACTGGGCTCCACGGCTTTGTGATGACCAATGTTTCCAGAGTAGTAAGCTCGAGGTCAGGAGTTCGAAACCACCGGCTGCTCCGCTCTACTCTTGTCAAGAGTTACAGTCTTGGAAACCCACAGGGGCAATTG